AAAGACACAAGGAAAGTATTAGCCCAAGAGACAGAATGGGCCACATAAACCTGAGACCAGAAGAACTAGATGATGCCCGGCTACCACCAATGAACATCCTGACAGGGAACACAACAGAGGGTCCCTGATGGAGAAGTAGAACGATGGGATGCAGAAGTCAACTTCTAGTAAGAAGACCAGATTTAATGGTCTGACTGGAGGCGCCCCAGAAGGCATGGCCCCTGGACTCTCTATCAGCCCAGAACTAAAACAATTTCTGAGGCCAACTCTTCAGACAGAGATTGGACTGGACTGTGGGACATAAAGTGATACTTGCGAAGAATGTGCCTCTTAGTCAAGTGGATACTAGACACCAAAGGGGCAGCTTCTGTCCAGGGGTGAGATGGGAAGGCAGAGAGAGTTAGGAGCTGGTTGAATGTTCATGGGGAATCAGGGGCGGAGGGGAGGAGTGTGCTGTCGCAGAATGGGGTGAGCGGTTGGGGTCTCATAACAATATATGTAAAAAAATTTTTGCATGGGAGACTAACTTGAAATGTAAACTTCATTTAATTACAACAATAAAAAAAAGGGAAAAAAAGAAATGCAATACTCAAGGGTGACAATCTTCACTCTTTGGGCTAAACTGTTACTTAGTTTAAAGATGACTTCAGGGGATAGCTTCAATTAAAGATTTGAAGAGCAACTAAGGGCCATAGTCTCAGGGAGTCCTCCAGATTCCACAGGTCCAGTAAGTCTGAATTCTTTAAAAATGTGAATTTCTGCTCCATATTTTTCTCCCTTTTTATCAGGATTTCTCTATTATGTTCCTGATTAGAATGTTCAGTAGTGGTAGCTGGGCACACATTTCCTTACTTTTGGGACAACAAGATGCTCTAGGCTCATATTGTACATTCTCTGCCTCAGCCCTGGAATCAGTCATTTCTCTAATAAGCCCTGATTCCTTTACATGGAAAATAGTATTTTGAACCAAGATCTGGGTGCAAGGTATGCTCATTGCTATTGGGGGGTCACTGCTCCCAGGCTCTCTCAATGAACTAGAGTGTGTATGTATATACATGGATATAAATGTGTATATATATATATACATATACATGAATAAATACAGGAATATATTTTATGTGTGTGTATTTGGAACTCATATTCCATGAGTTCACATCTATACCTCCAGTTACAATCTAACACCACAGGGTTCATTTTAGTTTCCTCCCTTTCCGTATTTGTAATTCTTTTCTGATGATGGGAAACCTGGCTCCCATCATCTTTAACACATTTACTTCTTTGATCATCCCCTTCCATGTAACCAATCTCCCATTACTGCAGCTGATGCTCTGACCCCCATCCTAGTCTGCCCCCCACCCCTACTGCTCTTCATGGATGCCCTCATCAACCCACCTGAGCTCCAACACTGCATGTTGGGTCAACCCCCTGTGAAAATACTCTTTTCATCCCGATTGGGCTCTTAATACCCCATGTCGAACTGTCTCCCCACACCTCCCTCACCCTGCTTAGAAGTTAGGTTTATCTCCACAGTACAACTTTGGTCTAATATTAGAAGCATGAGTAATGTGTCACATTTACAAATTAAAGGAGAAAAATAATATGTCTGTCTCAAAAGATGCATAAAAAGAATTTGATAAATATTGACATCCATATATGATTTAAAAAAAAAAAACTTCGCAAACTAGGAAGAGAATTTCTTTAACCTGACAAAGGATCTCCACCAAAAAAAAAAAAAACGCAGATATTAGCATATATTTAAAAAAATACATGGAGTGGAGAAACAAGTTTGGTTTTTTGTGAGAAAAAAAAAAAAAAAAACCCAAAGCAAATAAATACTTTTTGAAATATATTTCTTAATGGGGAAAGGTCACACGTTTTCCCCTTAAAATCAGAAACAAAGCAAGGTTTTAAATATCACCATTTCTTTTCAGTACTGTACTGGAAGAGTCTAGTCAGAAGATAAGAAAAAGAGAAGGTGTAAGGATGAGGTTTCTGAGGTACCAGTGATTAATGGTCTGTGGGGTCACTGAGAGATAGGTTCTTTAGGTTAATAATTGACAGGGGATGTATGAGTTCAGAGACGAGTGGTATATGGGGTCAGAAATGGGGTCTGTGCGTTAAGTGTGTGGGGTTATGTCCCTGCCAGGTGTTCCCTCTCCCTTACAGGGTTTATCACTCAGTAAGCCCCCTGCTTCTTGGGAGACAGATGATTTCTCCAAGGAGGAGGTGGGCAGGCAGGAGCTATGGAGGAGTCAGAAAGGGTACTTTCTGTACAGACACCAAATGTTTGCTCACACAGGTTCCTGGATTCCTGCCAGGCATGCCCTTCTCCTTTACCAGGTGGCACTCAAAGGGACCTATGAGCAGGGAGTTGGGCAGGTGGGAGGTGTGAAGGTATCAGGAAGGATTTTTACTTACAGACCATATATTTTCCCACATCAGTTTCTGAGTATATGCCAAGCATGCCCTTTCCCTCATGAAGGAAATTTGTGTTTATGGCATGAAGTATTGGCCAGTTTCAATTTTCCACATATATAAACTCAATTATCCCAGCAACACTTACTAAAAATCCATCCATCCTTTCAGTATCACTATTGCCATAAATCAAATATCTACATTATGTGTGGATCAGATTTGGGATTCTCTATTCTGTTTCATTAGTCAATATTTCTGTATTTTGGCCAGAGATATCTTAATCATTATAATTTTGTGTGATGGTTAATTTTACGTGTGAACTTGGCTAGGCTATGGTACCCAGTTGCTTGGTCAAACACTAGTCTAGACGCTGTTATGTAGTAGTCACATGTGATTAAATCAATTGGCCTTGAGTAAAACAGATAACCTTCCATAATGTGGGTGGACCTCATCCAATCAGTTGAAGACCTTGAGAGCGAAAAAGGAGTTTATTCTGCCTCCAGACTATTTTGCCAGAACTCCCTCATTATTCACTCTTCCCATAGCCTGACCTACGGAGCACAAGACTGTAGGAATCTCCAGTCTGTCGCCTGACCTACATATTTTGGACTTGCCAGTCCCCACATTGCTTGAGCCAATTCCTTAAAATAAATCTCTCCTCTTCTCCCCTCCTCTTCTCCCCTCCCCTTCTCCCTCCCTTCTTCTTCTCTTTCTCTCTGTGTGTATGTATATATAGATAGATAATCTTTTTTTTTTACTAGTTCTGTTTCTCTAAAGAACCCTAAGACACTTTATTTTTATTTTGTTTTTTATTGTTGTAGTTTAAGTGTTTACATTTCAAGTTAGTCTCCCATACAAAAATTTATAAATACATTGTTATGTGACCTTAATTGCTCTCCCTGTACAGCGACAGCACACTCCTCCTTTCCACCCGATTCCCCATGTCCATTCAACCAGCTCCTAACACTCTCTGCCTTCCCATCTCACCTCCGGACAGAAGCTGCCCGTTTAGTCTCTTGAATCTACTTAAGAGGCACACTCGTCACGAGTATCACTTTATGTCCCACAGTCCAGTCCAATCCCTGTCGGAAGAGTTCGCCTCGGCAATTGTTTTAGTTCTGGGCTGATAGAGAATCCAGGGGCCATGCTTTCTGGGGTTCCTCCAGTAGAGTACCCTAAGACACTTTGAAATAACTCCTGATAGCTGGAAAGGTCAATCCCCAACTTGTTCTTCTTCAGGGGTCTAGGCTAATCTAAGACATTTGCCCTTCCATATAAATCAGTGGTTCTCAATCCTGGCTAAACATTATAAGAACTTAAGGAACTGACAGAAAAGGCCCATGCCTGGATCCCACCTGAGAACAATTGCATCAGCATCTCTGTAGGTTGGGTTCAGGCAATCATATCAAACAGCTGTATGGCCACACCACCCACGTCATGAAATAGAACATCACTGGTACCTGTGTCTTAAGTAATTTTTTGTATACATATTTCTATTACAGAGGTGTGCTAAAATCTCCCACAATTACAGATTTGTCTATTTCTCCTTGTAGTTCCGTCCATTTTTACTTTATATATTTTGAAGCCACGCCTATTTATATCTTCCTGAAGAATTATCAGTATGAAAAAGAACTCTATCTTTAAAAATGCTTTTGCCTTAAAGTCTACTCTTACTAATAATATAAGTACACCAGATGTCTTTTGGTTAGTCTGATGTATTTCTTCCTTCCTTTTACTTTCAACCTTTCTGTACCCTTCTATTTTTTACAGATTCTTTGTAAACAGCATGTAGGTGGGTTTTGTTTTTTACCCACAGTCTAATATTTGTCTTTTGGCTGCAACATTTGGTCCACTTACATTTAATATAATTACTGATATGTTTGGATTTAAATCTTATATGCTTTCTAGGGGTTCACACTGCTCTGTTTTTTTGCCTTCTTCTGGATTATTCATCATTGTACTTTCCTCCATTTGTCTGAAATTAATACTTTTTCTATTGTTTAGGTGTATACCATTAATTTACCAAGATATTAATCTTAACTTTAAATCTTTTAGCAAATGCACACCTTAGTACACTTTAACCTATATCCCAGTTCATTAATTCCCTCTTCAGCCTCTAATCTGTTGTGAAACTTGTCCATTGACTTCTTAATTTTGTTGTTTATTTCACGTCTATCAGTTCTACTTGGCTCTTTTTCAGCTAATTATTGTTTTAAAAAGTTTTAAGTTTCTTTGTCACACTTTTAACAATTTTTATCTTCATGACCATAGTAAGGGTAACTGTTTTACATTGATGTCTGATAAATTCTAACATGAGGAATCTCTGTGTAACTGTGTCTGTTGTCTTATTTCTTCTGATTCTTATGCATGTTATCTTGTTTGAAGATGTAGTCATCTTGATTTAAATCAGGTTTTTTTTTTTAAACATTTTGTTTTTGAAGGTTTACACAACAGTTTAGGTTCCCATTCAACAATTTATACACAAATTGTTCAGTGACATTGGTTACACTCTTCACAATGTGTGAACATTCTCAGTATTTCTGTTCTGGTTGTTTCATTTCTATTAATCTAGTTTCCCACCCCCTTACATTCTCATCTTTGTTTTAAAGTAATTGTTGACCGTTTGGTCTCATATAGATGATTTTTTTAAAGCAGCATAGTACTCACGGGTGATATTTTGTGAGCCAATCTGTTATTTAGCTAAAAGTTGACCTCAGGTGCTAGTTTCAGTCCAAAGTTTAAAGAGTATCTCAGGGCAGAAGTCTCAGCAAGTACTCCAGTCTCTAACGGTCAAGTTTTTTTTTTTTTTTTTTAGGAATTTGAGGTTCTGTTCCATATTTTTCTCCCATTCTATCAGCGCCCATCTATTGTGGCCCTGATCAGAATGGTCAGTAGTGGTAACCAGGCAGCATCTAGTTCTAGTCTCAGGATGGATGAAGCCGTGGTTCATGTAGACCGTTAGTCCTGTAGACTAGTTTCTTCCTTGAGTGTTTGTTTTCCCAGGGAAGTTATTTTACATGGATTCATTTTAGATAGACTTTATCCAGGACTGATTATTCATATGTAACAAGGCATTCCTGTATTTAAAGCCCATTTTGACCCAGCTCTTGCCTTTTTCTTTTACCTACAAAATGGGGGTGATAATGTGCTTAAAATCATATGCAGTTCATGAGGATTAAATGATAGCTTTTGAGGTTCCAGATCCAGCCATATCTGAAACTAGTATTTGTTTATTTCTGGCTTTGCTTGTCAATTTGAGCTGGGCTCACCAGCAACCATGATTCTTGCCTGTGTCAACAGTGTGACTGGGAGGCTTGTGGGTGGTAATCCTGGGGCTGAGTGACAAAGGGTCTTGCCAGATCCAATGCAAAGGCAGCAGGCTGTGGGGAATGTTGAGGCCCTTACTGGGGAATGGTCTCTCAGCTGCCACTGATCAATTCCCTTCTTCAGTGTGAAAGATTAGGTGGCTTATGTCTGTCCAAGTATCACACGTTTACTCCCCTCCAGCCCACAGTTATTGAGAGCCCTGTTTCTCAGAGGTGACAGCTGGCTCCTATGGGAGGAGTCAAGTGGCAGATGTTTAGTGCTTAAATGGCATCTTATGCTCAGGAAGTACTCAGTGCCCATTCTATGGTAGATGCTCCACACCTCACTTACCTCTGGGGTGAGGCTGGAGGGACCTTGCCTGGTGAGGGAGCTGGGGTCATGGTGGGAGGGGGGTCAGGTACAGGGGCAACAAAGACACAGCACATTTGACCTGTCAGGTTGGCCAGTCTGGGCCAGTGCACTCTCTCCACATAAGCTACAGGGCAGGTCATGTCCACAGAAAGATTTGTAGTCCTGCTCCAGGTAGGTCAGACACCCCCACCCCCTCTACAAAGATCAACTCCGGTGTACTAATGAGATATACCGACTTCCTGAAAGAACTTGAGCAACTACCTGACCTTTGTACCTCAGTTTTCTCCACCTGAAATAGGAGATGACAACTCCCTCATGAAACTGTTGTGAGAATTATGAGTCAATACTTGTAAAATGCTCTGGAAAAACTGGACATATAAGTGGTGCTTGGAATAGTGTCTGGCACACAAATGGTGCTTGAAAAGCACTTAGAAAAGCACCTGGCACATAGTTGGTATTCAATAAGCACTCAGAGCAGCACCCATCACACAGCTGGCATTAATAAGCACACAGAACAGAGTTAGGCATATAGCTGGCGCTTAGTAAATGCATGAAAACAACAAACCACGCTGCTGAGTGAGGAACAGACTGGAGCTTTATATACATACAGCAGAGAATACAGGATATCAATAAGAAAATACACTGTGTTCAGATGCACCCCTACCTCACTAGAAGACCCCAGGTTGAGGAAAGACGGAAAAGGACAACCATAAATTAAAAAAAAAAAAGAAAACAGGGCGGGGGGAGGGCTGTTGCTCTAAGGGGTAAACACAAGCAGGCAACACTGCTAGGGGAAGAGATAGGACCTTTTCTTCCCCTCAGGGAGAGCAATATAGCGGCACATGACAATTGTGGCCACAACTGAGCCTGGACTACCTGGCAGGGGCACGTAACACGGAGAAGAGAATGGGTGGTGGACACAGGGAGGGGGGTGGTAAAGATAGTTTCCTTCTCTTAGTTTCCTTCTGTGTGACAGGACGCAGGGCCCCTCAGTTTACATCCATGGACTCAGAGCTGGGTGGGGAACCACAGGCAGGGGGTTCTGGGGGGCCAGATAAGTCGGGCTGGGATCGTAGGCGTCGCGCCACATCCTGGCGTTGGTAGAAGAGGACATAGGCTGCCTTGGACTGCAGGGAGAAGATAGGAGTCAGTGTGGATTGGAGGGCAGAGTCAAGAGAAGGCAAGAACGGAAGAAGGGAGCACAGAAATCACACCTCAACCTCGTCCTCAGTCACTGGAGAGACGCTGTTGTCATCAAAGTAGTGCCACTGGCCGCTGTCCTTGTTGCAAGCGAATGTTGTGTCTGTAACAGACAGGAGAGCTGTGGATCCACACTTACATTCATGTCCCTAACAGGTATCCTGATTCACTTTTACTCCTCCCACCCTGATAACTTCACCACTAGCTCACATACGTAAGTCACCCACTGGGGAAATCCTCACATCCCCCCAGCCTAGACCCCCCAGGGAACTCCCTGCCCACAGCCTGGTACATACAGTGTCCATCGCGCAGGCCTCCATAATGGTTTGAAACTGCAATGAGATCGTATTTGTACAGATCTGGATCCGACTCACTCCGTGGTTTGATGATAAACTCGGAGAGGTCCAAGTCTCTGAGGGTGGAGACAGGGTTAATACTGGTGCCCTCTTGGCCACTCCCTGCCTTCCCTTCAGCCATCCTCCCCTCCCACCCACCCCCACTCCGGACCGGATAGGGAACTCCACAAGGATGTCAAGCTTCTCTCGGGAGAACTTGGTGTAGGAAAAGCGCTTCAGGTGGATAATCAGGATCTCAGGCAGCATCCACAGGTCCAGCTTCTTAGTGGCCAGCTGGTGCTGCTTACAGTTGGGGCAGTACCTACAGACGGAGCCTCAGTCAGTAAATAGACATTTTCTGAACACTCACTTTTGGCCCTCGTGTTACATTACTGGTCCATAGAGATGCTGGTCATACTTTTAGCCTGCTTATCACTCTGGTTTGCTCTTCACATGTTAAAATGCTTTCATTCATTCATCATTTATTGATTGTCTTTTAATTATGCTTTTGTACTATTTTGTATTTTTGTATGATTTCTGGTCCACGGAAATGTTTTATTTAAGAGCCTGCCTCTATCCCTCGTTTCTTCTTCATATTATATTTATTCATTCAGTCACCATTTACTGATTGCCTACGGTTCAAACCTTTGGTACTATTTTATATTTCTGTTCCATTTCTAGTCCATGGAGATGGTGGTCTTATTTTTGAGACTGGCTTTATCTTTTTGGTTCTCTCTTTATGTTTTGTTTACTCTACAAGTTATGTATTAAGTGTCTACTGCACACCGAACACTATTATAAAGCAGTGAGACTAGATACACAGTCAACTTAAAAGTCTTCACCCTCAAGGGGTTTCCTCTCTAATGAAGATGATAAACAATACTGCAAAAAGGGATAGATGACACGACACCAAGTGGTATTATTGAGTTAGAAAGAAATGCTTGGCTAAGAGCATGAAGAAGAAATGAAAACAGGTGATGGGTGGGTAGAGGGTGTGTCTTTTGACAGGGCAGTAAGAGAAGGTCTCTCTGCAGAGACCCAAGCAAAGTAAAAGAGTAGAGTCCTGTGAACAAACGGGGGAAGAGCATTTTTGACAGAAAGAACAGCCCAGGCAAAAGCCCTGAGATGGGAATATGCTTAAGGTGTTGGTGGCTAGTGTGGCAGGAGAGGTCTGAGCAAGGAAAGTCGAAAAAAACTATTGAGAGAGCTAACAGGGACTTGGATATGTAGGTGCACCCACCTAAACCCCCACAGCCCCATCCTGGCCGCTTACCAGGGGTTCTCCTTCTCCAGAGTCTCAACGGTGGTAAAGAGCTCAATGCACTCCTGCAGCCGCACTGGAGCTTTCTTCAGCACATAGCTAACACATTCATGCTTCACAAAGCCCTAGGGTTGGGTGAATGGACAGCTGGGTATGACAATGGGTAGATAAATAGGGAGTGGAGGTGCAAGACACATGCCGAGTGGTTAAGAACACGGGTTTTGAAGCCAGGAATCTGAAACCCTGGGAGTTCTTAGGTCTCCTCGCTCTGTTCATGGCTGGAGGAGTTGGGGTAGGGGATGTGGGAAGAGCTGAGGAGGTACAAGTTGAAAGTGCTCCCCCATCCCTGGAATCTCTTTTACCTCAGCCTCCACCTCGTCATAGTAACGCTTCTTCATCTCTGGCTCCCAGTCGATGGCAATGTACGGCTGGGCTGGGGGTAAGGGGTAGGTGGTCAATAGGACCTGTTGCCAAGAAAACCCTCCACCCACCTCCCCAACCCTGGCTCACAGCTGAAGGAGACACCATGGCCATCCTCGCTGAAGGTCATGCGGTCACTGGTCCCATTTGAATTCACTGTCTGCAGGGTGAAGAGCTGCTTGCGCCGGGACCTCTGGGGCCAGTTAGAAGGGCCGGGGGAGTTGTCTGCAGGAGCCCGGTTCCTGCCCACGACTCCAGAGCTGGGTCCAGCCTGCTCTGGCCCAGGGTCTTGAAGGCTGCCCCCAGCTGTTTGCCCAGACTTGGCAATGTTGCCCTTATTCTCTGTGTCTCCTAGGACAGGGGAAGATGTCAGAGATGGGACTGTCTGAACCCCAGGGGAAAAAGCTGCAATGCACATCCAGATGGACTCTGTCAGTACTACTCCAGATCCCCCTACTCCTGACCTTCAGCCCCTCACCCTCACTTAAGTCATGGGGTTGCTTGTACAAGCCCCTCGTTCTTGTGGATCCTCCCTTCTCTTCCTCACCTTTCTCATCCCCATCGTCCTCATCATCTGAGCTGGGCCTGGCTACGTAGCGTCTGCCGGCAAAAAAGAGGAGAGGAGACTCTCAGTGTGAAGGGCAGAGCCTGGGATTTTACTTTAATTATGATGGGACGCTACCGGTAAACCCACACGTAAATAGTTGTTAACTATGAACTATGAACCTGGAAGGCCTGAGGAGATGACATATAAACACATGAAGAGACTGAGGCTGCCAGCAGTGGCCTGATAATACAGGGTTTTGTGTGCTACAATAAGGAGTTTGGATTTGAAGTATGATGAGCCACTGGTAAACAGATACAAACAGCTGAAAATTTTGATCGGGGAAGGCCTCTGAATGGACTTGTAAACAGAAAAAGAGAGAAGAGAGATTTAGCCAGAAAATGTATTGTTTTATTTGCCACAGTAAGGAACCTGGATTTTAACTACAATGAAGATCAGTAAAAACACAAATAACTACACTTGTCTAAGGAGACGACAATTAAGCCCAAGATGAAGTTGTATTTCGTCTGTTGCTCACCTCTGTAACTCCAGCTCCTAAGAGGAAGAGGTGAAGCCAGAGGTTTAGAAGAAGAAAAGAACCTACAAGTTCCTCTACGGCCATGTTAAGTGTGAGCTGTGTCTTTTGGATGTGGAAGGGAAGGTATGAAGTAACCAGCTAGAAACCCAGGTCTGAGTTCAGATTCCATGTCCCCCTCTCCCTTGGGAAGGGCATACTCACGAGAGCCGGTACAGCAGGATGTGATACAAGGCATCCCAGGTGAGCCGGTCACGGGGCACCGACAGCAGGAGTGGGTGCCCAAAAAGCATGAGGCCATAGTAGGAGTTGTTGAAGTCCCGGGCTGGGGAGCGCTCCCGTAGGTAGATGGGAAGCACAACATCCTCTCTTATGCCCTCACCGGTCCCAGCCCTAGCTGACACCTCATATCTGTAGGGAGTGGACATCAGGTCAAGTCTTATCAGGACATCCCAAAATGGAACCCTTGCCCCTGCCCCATTGCTCCATCCACTCACTCCTTACAGCCTGAAAGTATTTTTAAAGGGTCTGAAATGTCATTAAATGTTTTGTGCTTTAAAAAGTGTGAGATAATTTACATAGCATTTTGTTTATGTGATATTATTTAAAAATATTTTTGCATTATCAGAGCACTGAGGGGATTAACAAAAATTTTCAGTGACAAAGGGATTTATTTTTTCATAATAATAACCATTTCTGAAAAAACTGCTTGGTTTACAAAGAATTGTTCAACTTTCAAAGTGTTTACCCCAAAATTTAAATTTTTTCTGAATGCTCTTATATTCAAGAAAGCATCTTAGTGTTTGTCATTACAAAAAACACTTTTTTTGCTTTTGAGAACTGCAATATGAGTAAGGAGCTCAGATCAACGTGTAAAGAATGAAATAAATAAGAAACAGCAGTCTCCCTCACATAACAAGGAAGAAAATATCCGAGGACACCCTGCCCCCACCTCACTGATGGCCCCAAGCCTCCTGCCCTGCTAAGTCACATGGCTAGGGTACTGAACAAGGTGGGTGCCTGGTGAATAAGGCAGAGAAGGGAAAAGATAAGGTGGTTAAGGTTGGGCTATACAAAAGGAAGATGAGTAAGTTCCTGAGGAACCACCATATCCCTCGGTCTCCTCACTCACATGAAGATATCATCTCGGTCCAAGATGCTATTCAGAGAGTCCTCCAGCTGGTAGATCTTATAGAAGCGGTGACTAAAGACATCGGCCACCATCATCTGGGAATGTGACATGGCGAGGGGACTAGTCAGTCTGCAAGATTCCCCCATGCCCTTCTGCCTGCCTCCCTGCCCCTGAATCCCACCCTCCCTCCATCTGCAGATCCTCACCCTGTCTGGCTGGACACCTGTGTGTTTGGACAGAGCCACACAGAGATCCGAGATTTTGCCTTTCTTGGGAACAATAAGTCGGTGCTGTTGGAGAGAAACAGTATCCACGAAAGATCAGAAGGGGTGTGTGGTGGGTTAACGCAAGAAACCTTGAGGTATGGCAAAGTAAGGAAACAAACTCTAACTACATGTCCTTCATTATGTCCCTATTCCTCCCATACCTGCTCTGGCTTGCGGCGGGGATCCATGGAGACATAGAAGACCTCCATGACCCTCTTGGGGCTGACAGGCAGCGGGACACTGAGGTAGCAGAAGGGGTCGAAGGTCACAGACACATTGCCGCAATCAGGGCACACCAGTGTGGACTTGAAGAGGCCATGGAAAGTGTCCACAATCACAGAATTGTTCCGCCGTTTGTGGTTCTGCCAGGCCTCCTGAGCCACCTCCTGTCAACAGTGTCATGGTGGGGGAGGGGCTTGCTTGGGGTTTGGGGCACATGCATATGGAGTAGGGGATTAAGGTTAAAGTTAAGACCACTATTAAAGTCAAGAAGTAGAGTTACTGCTAGGGATGTCTGGACACTGTTCACTGTTAGGGATGGGATTTATCTGGGGCAGAAGACTGGGTTGGGTTTAACTCTGGGTTGGGTAAGGGAGCAGAAGTGGTGCTGGAGCTAAGGTTGGGACTGGGGTTGAAGATAAATTCAGGGTGGAGGAACTTAACAAAAAATGTGGGGTGTTGGATATCCCAGGGAGACCAGAGAATCCCTGAGACAGAGGTCCTAGCGGTTTTAATGGGGGCTTTCAGGAGCTGCCTACCTGATCAGGCCGTCCAGCGGCATCACACAGCTCCACGTACTCCTTCTTCTTTACCCGATTGAGGTCCTCATGAAGCCCATCCAGGAGGAACGACAGCAGCTCCTGTGAGTCATGCTGCTGGTAGCCCAGAAACTGGGATGCAAAGTGGCCAACCTTGGTCTGGGAAAAGGGCCAAGGCCATCACCGAGAGAGGGAGTTAGGAAAGCCAAGAGAAACGTGTGTGCATATGTGTATGGGGGGAAGTGGTGCACAGTTGACTCGTACCTTGAACACATGGGGCACAATGGAGCAGTGGTGGCCAGACCATGCCTGCTTCACCAGGTCTGCATAAGCCTCTGCAATCTCACCCTTCATGCCCAGGGGGTTGCAGAAGTTGAGCTCTTCCAGGTAGCGATTGTTGAGGAAGTACTCGGTGAGTTGTGGCACATTGCTGAGGCACTGCAGGAGGCAGTGTCAAGTGAATGAGGCAGAGAAGAGGAAAGAGAAGGTGGTCAAAGCAGGGACAGAGAAAAGGAAGCAAGGAGGAAGCAGAAAGGGGAAAGAAAGAAGGGACGTGGATGCGGGAGGCAAAGATATCAATACTCAGAAGAAAGAAGAATGTGGTGGCAAAAGAGAGAAAAAAAGGCCAAGCAGGGGGTGGGCAGAGGGAGATGGTACTGATATTTCAGAAGGAATCAATGTTTCAGGAATGAACAGGGGCATGTCAATTCAGACTTGTGGGGCCCTAGCTCCCAACCCAACCCCTTATCTTGCAGGCCCCCTAGTCCCCTCGTTCTGTCCCCAATCCCCAGCCCGTGAAGCCCATTCTGGTTGCCAGACACCCCAAATGGGCCAACCTGCAGAGCCGAGTTCATGAAGCACGTGTTGCCCAGATTTGTGAGACCACAGACGCCTGGCTGGCCCTGGAAGTCCTCATCTTCCTTCGACACGCTCTTCCTGGGGTTGGATGAGAAATTCTATCAGCTGAGGGCCTACTACATGCAGGTGAAATGTGTTCATGGACTCAGTTCTTCTGCCTGTTGTGGGACCCCATTCTGGACCAGACACCCCAAAGCTCACATGACATATTGCTTTGCACTGGGCCAAGCGCCATCTTTGTTTCGGGTCTCCATGACGATCACCTGGGTTGGAGGGAGAGAAAAAAGAGAAAGAAAGACATTAATGGAGGGCCTTATGGACACCTAGACCTCACCTTCCAACAACCCAAGCACTGCTAGGTGAGTCTATCTGCCAGGCCAGAAAAGCCCTCCCCATCCTTACCTGCCCAGTCTTGAGGCGGGCGTCAAGTACTGTAACGTGTGTGTTGCACAATCGCTCAAAAGAGCCGTCTGAGTGCTTGATCCACAGCCGCGTCTCCTCCTGTGGGCTAGCCAGAAACCGCTCCCGAGCTGTGTGCAACACCAGGTCTGTGAACAGTGACAGAACACATTTCAAGGTCTTTCTGAGACCTAGGATGATTGACCCATCTCAGCATCAGACATCCTGACTTATCGCCATTCACCTTGCATACTTGGTCAATACCTAAATCAGAAGTTTGTGTCCTCTATCAATCTCCAGATGACTGATCCACCTTCAGGACTTGAGATCCCCAGCGTACCATCTAAGCCACTGAAATGCAGCTCACATACTTTCAAGACTCCAGGGGACACCCTCAGTGCTTCTGCCCGATTGTGAACCTCCAAAGGACCTTCCTGGTTCTCCAAAGTCTGACCAATGCCTTCTCAGTCTGCCACAGCCTAACCCATGCAGTCTTAGGGCACCAAGCTGTGATTGGGAATGCCAATTCGTTTTGTGACCCTTAAAGACTCACCAAGAGAATCTGTGTGGCTGAATTGGGCAGTATGAGGTGTGCCCATATCACTATGCTGGAAAAGCAGCAGCTCTACTGGATAAACCTCAACCTTTTGGATGCCGGGCAGCTCCACAACCTGTAAAGGTGAGGGGTGCATACGTAGGTATACCTGCACAGCATATACACACAGACACAGGCACGATGAATGACCCTTGGGGGTAGAAGAGCACACGTTTAGGCATACACACTATATAATGATCTGTAAGGGTGAGCATGCATAGATGAACACACACAGACACATGTATAATGACCTGTGAGGGGAAAGGGGTGCAGGCATGGGTGCATCTATTCAGCATACACAAAGACACATGTACACACGGGTCTGGACCTATCCTGGGCCTAATACCACCTCCCTCCTCCTCCCCTGCCTCCTACAGAATTTACTGTCCTCAGCACTCTCCCCATACCTTGCGTTCAATGGGTGGCTGGCCATGCTTCAGACCATACCAGCTGACCAGGTAATGCCACGCAGCTGCTGGGAGCAGCACATAGTCCTCACCTTCCACCAGTCCCTTCTTGAGGTTCCAGTTTACCTGATCTGGGGGTGGGGGGAGAGGAACAATCAGAGAAGGAAACTGGCAAATAACTCTGGGTACCCCACCAATGACTACCACAGAGGTTGGGCTTGTCATCATTTATAGGGACAGAGGGGTAAGAACTCCAGGGCTTGACTGACATGGGAAGGCAAAGGCCTGGTACCTTCAAAGAGCTTAGCATTGTTGATACAGCCGGGGAAGGTGCTGGAGTCCTGGTCTCCTCCCTGCACGTACACTTCCCACTGTTTATACCAGTGCTGCTCCACAAGGAACCTGGGGCCCAGACACGTAACAAGGGTGTTACATGGTTATGTGGAGCTTAAGTGTACAACTTCTCATGGTTATATTATAATGCGCTAAAAGTTTCAACAAGTTATAATTCAAGATAAAAATAAATTAGAATCAAGATTATTCAGTCAAGAAGCTCAGATTTGGTATTAGATTATCCAACTTCTTAGGATACTAGAAGAGATTTGATTAAGAACAGAAAATGTTGTCAATAATAGCAAAACAAAACCACTCATAGTCCTGTAGAAACAAGAGGTTTATTATAGAATAAAGATAATTCATATGTCTGTGGGGTCACAGTTAAATTAGGTTCAAAGATCTGTCATCTCCAGCTAACATTATAAGGCTTTAGCCATTCATTAAGTATACAGCGTCTTCAAAGGATATAGAAACGGAAATAAAATTCTTCAGCTAAGAAATAGATTTGATAAACTCTGAAAATCTGCTCAGAAACTGAAAAGAATTTAAAATGCTACAGAATCATAAGGTTTTCCTTCAGAAGAAAAACTGCATGCTGCCATTTTTTCATCATTTTTGTATTTAGGATTTATTTTGACTTTATAATAAATTTTCTGAGTTTACAGTGACTTGCTCTCTTCTAAAAGATAAACTTTTATATGTAATACAAAGATAAACATTCAGGATTGTGTTGAAATCTGCCTTTGTAAAACATCCTTAGAAATTCTAAAATACTAAAAAAAAAATTCTAAAATACTAAAAATAAGTGTTAAATGAATGTTTGCTATTACTGTTCTGATCACGAGGCTTGGACATAAAAGCTCATGTACACATATACAAACAGCCCCCCTCCCACGCTCACACAAACCTGCTCTGCTATGGAATTTTTGACACGTAAAAGGCTGTCTCAAATATTTAACATCCTAAAATAGACACTTTTTGAACAATAACAAAACTAATGAAAAATACGTAACATTGTATTGGTTGGTTTTCTAGCATTTTGACCTCATAAACGTAATTCTTTAAAATGTCAACTTTACCTTGCTTATAAAAGAATCAGAGAGGTAGGGGAATGAAAGAACACAAAAATTTTGAAATAGACACAAGTCACCCGAATAGCCAACATTTCTGTGTTTTGGTTTTTCTCCCCCTCTGCACTGACTCTCACAGACTCTGCAATACTACGCAAGCCAAGGAAACACAACTCCCCATCACTCATGCCAGGGAAACACACACTCCTCGCTCCTGGTAGCTCATGCCACAGACCTCCTCCCTGCCGCTCATCCCAAAGACCCTACCACTGGCCCTACCTTCTGCCACACATATACTTTTATTTCCCCCTTCACTGCTTTAATTTCCTCCATAGTCAGTCTATGAAGTTAATCTATTCATTAACATTAATTTATGGTTAACGGTACTTCAATGCAAAGGGAGCCACTGCTCTATTTTTTTTTTTAAAAAGTAGACTTTTAAGAAATTTAACATTAAAGTCACTGTACATAGAGGTAATCAAAACTTCCAGATCTGGCTAGAACCTGAATTTCTGAAGGCTTCATAGATGTCTGACATTTTACACAAATACATATGTATTACTACCATATTTCATCAATTGAAAGATAATTTTTTTTGATAGCTCTGAAATCAGAATGTCTCACAGTTTCTGCCAGCCAAGTGTCTGTCATGACAAAGTTTTCACTGTCTGAACCAAAAGCACCCACATTGTTATATTTACTCCTAGATATATGATACCCACAAGCTGCTCCACAGGAGAGAGATGTGGCAGTCCTCTTCCATAAAGATTTACAGCCTTGGAAACTGTGTTGGGCAGTTCTATCTGTCCTATAGGGCCGCTATGCGGCAGAATAGACTCGACGACAACAGGTTTGGCTTTTTTGGTATTATAAGTGGTATCTTTTAAATTTACATTTTCTAATTTTTTTTGTTGCTAGTATATAAAAATACAACTGATCTTGTTAAAGTCACTTATGTTTATTTGTGCTTCCTCAAACTTGTTAAAATGACACAGAATAAGTGCTCATGAAAAAAGTTACTAAACAATTCTTTTTCTGTCCTCTAGTTTTCTCTTGCATCTGGAGAAAAGAAAATTTGTTATTTTGGTTACATAAATGGTTAATTATACTAGAAAAACAGAAATACGTACGTAAGAGATGGGATTTTCTTCTCGTTTACTATAAGGTTGCTGGTTTATTCAGATAGTAAATGTAATTTAACATATGCTGTTCTACTAAATTTATTAATTATATGTCTATGAAAGTCTACATACATACGTATAAAGGCATATTAATAATTCCTTTACTGCAAATCGTTAGACACGAATAATGTACCAAGGGAGGAAAACCAGCATTTGGGTCTTTTTCTGTAAAATGACTATGTTCATTTATGCCCAGATTAGTAGAAGTTCCTTTTGTGCCATCAAATTATTAACTCTTAGTGCTTTTGACATACTCTTGACTCATTTTTAAAAATATCTTAACTCATTTTTGAAGAGATTCTTTACCAAAAAAAAATTTAAGCTTCTAATAACCTGTGTTGTTTATTGCTGTAAATATTGTTTATCTTTACTTTTAACTTATGTCTCCTCTAACTATTCTTGATTTTGTCTCTTCCAAATTCAGTCCCCAAATTCAGAATATTAACACTGCTAAATGCTCTTTTATACCTAAACTATCTTTGAGAGAGAACTTGATGTGTGTTCCTTTACCCTATAAAAAGAAGGACAATAGGGATAATTAGGTTTAACTAAAATTCTTTAAATTTTGTTTAAAACTTTTATAAAAGCCTTTTCATTTATCAAATTTAATACTAATTCCTAGGTTAACTGTATATAATATACTAATATAAATATCTTTCAATAACTGCATCCTTTTCAAGTTAAAAAGTATACTTGTGTTCAAGCAACCAAGACTGGTATTAACACCTGTCTACCAAACATTATTGCCTCAGGACTCCAGATTCACAAACCCCTTTTCCCTTTTTGTTCATAAAAGGTCTGAACAAGCAGTAAGAGTACTGACTCAACTACATGGGTCTAGTCAGAGGCCTATTGCTTATTTCAGTCTTTCATTAGACCAGTAGCCAAGGCATACCCACTTTGTCTAAAAGCTATAGTATCAATAGCTAAACATGTGAAAACATCACACTGATTTAGTTCAGTTACTGGTTCCCTATGCTTTATAGGCTCTTCTACTGACAGAAAACTCTCAGCACTTTTGGGCTAATGGTTAATCTACCATGAAATATTGCTGCTTTCCCTTCACATGTCACTATCCATTGCTGCAACACTCTAAACCCAGCCACTCTCCTTGCTTTATCTCATGGAGAGCTCCAAGCTCCAAGATTACTTACCTCTGTTAGGAAACGATCCACATCCTGCACAGACCTTCTAGAGACTAACCTTTGGCTATGTCTGACACAACTGCGTTTGTAAATGGTTCATACAAAAAGAAAGGCTAAAAACTGCCAAAAAGGCTGCACTATCACAGATTTGAATTTACTCGAAAAATTTAGGCTTTCCCCAGAAATTAAATCAGTTCACATGGCTAAATTTAATTGCTCTCACCTAAATCTGCCAGCTGACAAAAGATAAAAGAAACAAAAACAAAAAAAACTCGTTGCCGCCAAGGCGATTCCAACTCATAGCGACCCTATGGGACAGAGTAGAACTGTCCCACAGGGTTTCCAAGGATCACCTGGTATATTCAAATTGCCAAACTTTTGGTTAGCAGTCATAGCTCTTAACCACTATGCCACCAGAGTTTCCGACAAAAGAGAGAAAGCTTTTTGAAGCCATGGACTAACTTCACGATATACTAGACAGTACAAAAGATAGTACAAATATTAGTACTGATACTTAGGTATATCCTGAAGTTAGTCCATGGCTTCAAAAAGCTTTCTAAGCACAATTTCCTGACCACTGCAGCAACCCCTATAAAATGGACGGCAAATTAAAGAACCTTGAGATGGTCTGCTATTATCTAAAGAGATAAAAATTAAAAAAGTGGAGTTTAGCAAAAAAGCTTCATATTACCCATGATAGCAGAGATAAATTGGCCTCAATAATGAGTAAATTTTTTTAAATTAAAGTGAAATTCACATAAAACCAACCATTTTAAAGTAAACAATTTAGTAGCAATCAATACATTCACAATGCTGTGCAACCACCACTTCTATCTAGTTTCAAAACATTTTACCCAAAAGGAAACCTCATACTGGTGGGGTCATTTTAAAAGGTACGGCTGAGGATGGTTCCAATGCATGTCTTATCTACCAATGACACAATCATGACAAGGCTGTAAAGCTAGGATGGGGGCAAAAACCAAAGCTAAAGCTTCGAGGTCCCTTTGAACACCTCCAAATGGACTATAAAAAATTCTTGTTATTGTTTATTCTCAGGATGGATTGAGGCATTTTCTTGCTGGAGAGCTATAGTGTAACGTAATGGTAGAAAAAAAATTGCTTCGTTTTGTATTCTCAACTTGGTGAATCCTAACTTATCTTTCCAGTAACAAAAATATACATTTCACTGGTACTGTTATTAAAAACCCTGTAAAGTGAGGAAATCTCAGTCACAAAGGCCCTACGGTGAGAGCATGCTTGAGCTGTTTGAAGAAAAGCTGAGTCCAATATGGCCGGGATGGACAGTGAGGGAGAGATCTGAGAAGAAATCAGACTGGAGGCAGGAAACCAATCTCATAAAGCCTTACAAGTCATTCTAAGAATTTCAGCATTTACACTGCATGAGATCGGAAGCTGTTAAAACATTTTGAGGAATGGATAGAAATAATGTAACTTATGTTTTAAAAAGAATTACTCTGTATGGAAAGGGGAAAACAGTAACTTTACAGTGGAGAAAGCTGGCAGACACCACCTTAACCAAGTGATTAAGGTTAACATCACCAGTGACGTCACATGGATATCATGTACCACCTGATACGATATGATGAGAAAGGGCACACAGTATACACACAGTATGATTTCACGTAAAGTATAATTTCATACATATACTTCATATATAAAGTGAAAGCTTAGACAACAAATACTGTTTAGGGATGCATACAGTGGTGGTAAAACGTTAAAGAAAATGAAGACTATTAACTCAAAATTCAGCATAATAGTTTCCCATGAGGTAGGGAGGGGGAGTTTCTATCTGGGAGGGGCACAGGAGGTGCTTAAATCTTAACCTGGGTGGCGAATACAGAAATTTTTGTTTTATTACTCTTTAAAGTATATGTAATTTTTTAGCCTTTAAATCTTTTTAATAAAAAAATTTTATTTTGAATAAGATTCAGAAAGGTTGCAAAAACAGTACAAATTAATTCCCATATGCTCTTTATTCAGACTCCCAAAATTTAACATTTTACCCACGTGCTTTATCATTGTCTCTCTATATGCATTTATACACACGTCATTTTTTCAGCCATTTGAAAGTAAGTTGCTTACGTGACAGTTCTTTACCCCTAAACGTATTTCGGGATGTACTTCCTAAAAACAAGGATATTCTCTTTCATAACCACAATACAATTACCAAAATCAAGAAATTAACACTGATACAGTGCTAATAATCTACAGACCTTAGTCAAATTTCACCACTTTTCCTATTGTCTTCTACAGTAAAAAAGAATCTAATTTTTAAATATTCCTTTCCCTGCTCCAGGATCCAATCCAGGATCACACGTTGCATTTAGCTTTCATGACTCATTAAATCGCCTTTAATCCGGCACAGTCCTTCAGCCTTTTCTTTCACGACCTTGACATTTTTGAAGATTAGAGGCCGTTTCGGTGGGTTTTTTTTTGGTAGAAACGTCCGTCAATTTGGGCCACGTAAAGCTTTTATATAATCTTACGTCTTACATGTTTTACAATTAAAAAATATGATGCAACTCAGCGAGAAATAAAATGAACCCTGAAGCAGTAAATCTCAAGAAGCACCGGTTAGCAAAGAAGTAAAACAAGCCGATTTATCCATATGTATTGACAGTTTTTTTAAACAACTATTTCTTCCTAATTAAAAAAACAAAACTGTACTGAAACAGAAAATAACATCAAAGGCCCTTCCCCTCGTCAATCACCTGCATCTTCGCCCGTCCTGGGAAGAGGGCCTCGGCGAGACACAAACCTCGCCGCGTCACAAACTTCGCTTGCTCGCAAGCGCCATTTTCTATCTCATAGGCACCACCTCCCCTCCACGGTCGTTCCCTCTCAAAGCACGCCCCTTGGCCTTACGTCACAAGCCTTGCCTCATTCCCAGGCGCCCCGGTGTCTACCACGCAAGCGCCACCCCCCACCCTCAGCCCATAACCGCCCCTCTAGGATTCCGCTCCCCTATCTTACGTCAAAAGCCTCGCCTCATTCTCATGCACAGCGGTACAATCGCAGGCCCCTCCTCACTCCCAGATGCCACGTTACGTGGCCACGCAGACCACGCCCCTCAGCGTCACGTCGCCTCATTCCCAGGTTCCAAGTCCCACCACGCAGGCCCAGTGCCCCTACACTGCCGTTACATCTCGGGCCCCGCCCCCTGGTCTGGCCACAACAAACTCCATCTTGTTCTCAGGCACCAAGCTTCGGCAGACAGGCCCCGCCTCTTTCCCAGGCGATGTGATCCACCCACAGGCACCTCCCTGCCCCTCTCGCCTACTGTCCCCCGCCCCCAAGGCACTTCGCCCGCGGACCTCGGCCGCCACGTCCTCCGCCGTCGCCAACGCCCCCACCATCCCCTTAGCTGAGGCTCCCTCGCAGTCCCGCCTCACCAGCTTTCACCGGCCTGCAGTGGACGCTCTCGCCCACTCTCGCTATTCTCAATTTGGCGCCGCTGGCTTTCCAGACCCGGCATCGCCTCGCGCTGTGGCTCTCTGTCCTCAGCGGTTGAGGCCACTGCATCCGCTGCAACACCCGCCATCGCTGTTCGCCCTCTTCACACAGCCACCGCAGCTGAAGATAGGAAGAGGCCCCTCAACGGCCACTTCCGGATTCTGGTCCCGGAAACGGAAGCAGAGCCCCCCAAACAGCCGCCATCTTAGAAATAGGCCCCACACTTGTACACGTCGAAGGGCTGGGCGGAGATCGAGCAGGAGGCGGTGATCTCTGCGACCAATAGGCGCGGTAAAATCTCCAGGACCAAGAAAGACAAAATTGTCTCCTGGAGCTGACCCTATGTTGAATCAGAGCAAAAGGTTGCTAGAAGTCAGAAGCAGAGGTTGGCGAGGTGGGCGACGACGTGGTGTGTAGTGCTCAGGGGCATTTAAAAGCACCGGCTATTCTTGGACCCGTGCTTTGCTGAGAACCATGGACCCCTACCCTGAGAATGACGCCTTTGTTCTCTGGCCAGAATGCCATTCCTTCATTACACTACGCTCCTCATCCATCAAAACCCGATATAAAACAGGTCACCACCTCCAGGGAGCCACTCAGGCCTGCAGGCCATTGTTCCCGTCCTGAACTAGTTATTCATTCGACAAACGCGTGTTGAAGAAGTCAGCCCCAGGCCCTGCGTATTTGCTGGAGTCACAGCAATGATAACAAAACGCCTATATCGTGCTTTGGCCTTGTTGAAGTACTTTGAATTCTGACTCAAAAGAGACCCTATAGGACACAGTAGAAGTGCCCCAATAGGGTTTCCAAAGAGCGGCTGTTGGATTCCAACTGTTGACCTTTTGGTTACCAGCTGAGCTCTTAACCTCTGTGCCACCAGGGCTCCTTTAAGTGCTTTACTGCACTTAAATAGCAGCCTTAGGCAGCAGGTACTATCATTGTCGCCCATGGGCAATCGTGGGGGAAGCTGAGGACCAGAAAACATTCATTAACTTTCCTCAGCTTTTAAGTGGCTGAGCTGTGGTTTGAACTAAGGAATTCTGGCTCCAGAACTATGACCTTAAACACAAGGCCAGGTATTCTTAAACTATGGTCCCAGGCCTTCTGCCGGTTCAGGACACCCTTTTGGGGTACACGAAGTCTAAACTTTTCAGTGTTTTCACTCTCAAGCTCTTATGTGTGTACGGTGTTTTCCAGACATGACATAAGCAAAAGCTCTTTGGAGGTCCTCAATTTTCAAGAATATTAATGGCTCCTGAGACCAGTAGTTTGAGAACCATTGCACTAGGCTAGGGTTTTTCAACCTCGACACTAACATTTGTTGTGGGGAGCATTGTAGGATGCCTATTAGCATCCCTGGCCTCTACGCACTAGATGCCAGTAGCACTCGCAGTTGAGACAACCAACAAGGTCTCCAAACATTGCCAAATATTGGGGGGCGGGGAATGTCCCCTGTTGAGAACCACTGAACTAGGCTATGCCATCCTTTTCTCTGCTAGGGCTCCCAGTCCTACCAACAGGTATTTGGTGATAACTTTAATATTTCCCTTTCTGGCTTCCTGCATCTACCTGCCTATTGGCTGTCTCCACCTGGCCATCCCACAAACTCCTTAAAACAAGCTCACGATTCTGGTCTGTTTCAGTTACTTCACTATCAGCATCTAGTTCCCAGACAAAAACCAATCTTGCCTTTCCACACCTCTAGGCCCATGCACACACAGGTCCTCGGGCCTGGAATGCCCAGGATACCTTCTCCCTGCACAATTTCAACACTCTTTCCTGTCATTACTCTCCCCACTTGATCTCATAATTTAGCTATTTTCTATTAACCTCTGCGAGGCAGGGATTGGATTTTTATTACTGATTCCAGCCCTCAGCCCAGACCTGGCACAGATGAGGGGTCACAACTCAGTTTCCTGACGGGGGAAAGGGAACTGCTCTTTCACCTGGGGTCCCCAAAGAAAGTGGCATTTGAGTTGGGTCTAGCACATCTGCTCTTCAAGCCCTGCTGAATCTTGTCAGATCCTCTGACTCAACTCCTCCCACCCTATTTACCTGGGTAGCCTATCCGTCCTACAATCCAACAAGAGGCTGCCTTCCCCAGCCCTAGACTCGGTTTCTCCACCTTCCGGAGGCCAACCTGTGCCGTAACTATGACCTTACCACTTCCCAGAGCAGTTGGGTGAATTTTAGTCCTTCTAAGTCCAGCCTGGTAATCTTGTCCCTCTTCACACAATGCCCTGATTATCCCAGCCTCCTTTGATGCCAGAGGTAACCATGTAATCTGATTCTACCCAATGGATGGCAAGGGAAATCTGAGGAACCTGTCAAAGTCTCAGCCCTGTTACAAGAAAACAGACAGGTAGGGAGGATGCATTCTTGGCTTTGCTTGCTTTCCCATCTCTGAGGACACGACAGAGATCTTGGCACCATGAGGCTGCAAGCTGAGAGATCAAAGTACTTAACGGGCACAGTTGAGTGATTACAGGTCCTCGGGTCACCACCTCTGGACTTCAGTAAACAGCCACTCTTGGTGAAGTTTGCTATTATTTGCAGCATTTGCCCGCCCCCGCCCACTCTACCTCTTCTGCCTGTAAGTTCTATCTTTGGCTTTGCTCAAGATGGTGGGATGGGGTTAGAACTCACAAGACAAAGAAATCAAAACCTCCAAGTATCCCCATGCCTAAGAGCAAGTCCCAGGTTGTACCATTTGACCACTGGCCTCTCACAAATCATTGTACTCTTCCCAGGGTCATCTCTTCCATGCTCGTGGTTTCTATTACTTCCTGGACACCACTGATATACACTTATAGCTGCATCTCTGGCTCCACTCCTGAATTTGATCCATGTTATCAGATTTCTCTAAGTGGTCCCAAATCTACCCTCCTCTCATAATCTTTCCAACTGCCCTTCCTCATGGTATCCAGGTCAGATACATGTGGTGGTCGTAGCGGGCCTCTTCTGCCTCATGCCCCCACCTTCCGCTCCACACCCCCTGGTTCTACTGGGCCCTCCAAGTGTCTTTCGAACAGACAGCCTCTCTACAGTCACCTACCTCCACCCTCAAATTTCTAGGTAAGTCTAACTCCTTTCTCTGCCTGACAATCAACACTACTCAGATGCCTTTTCCATGGTCATGAAGTGTCATTGGCCCACTTCCAGTGCTCTCCTAGAAGATGGGAACCAGGTATGAATTTTCCAAAGTCCAATGATCACTCCTGCTCAAGAGCCCTCCTCCACCCTAAAGGGATTTGCAATCAGGCTTTTCACTTTAGACTTTTAATATTTCATACAGCGATTATGGTGCATTCAGGAATCCAACCCCGAAACCCCACTAGGAGGGCCCCCACCCCTGCCCTTCCACCCCATTTGAGGGCCCCAGGGGTTAGGGTGGAAGAAAGGGAGGTAACCACCCATCTGGGGACTGACCCCGGAAACTGTCCCTGCCCTGCCTCAACCTTCCCAGGGGTTAGGGGGTAACGCCTCGGCACAAACCCCCATGCACCCCAGACCCTCCCTGCTTGTGCACATATACACACTATGGCTCCTCACTGAGTTGGCTAGTTCCCGGCAGGGCCCCTACTCAACAGCACCAAGTGGGATGGGGGTGCAGGAGGGCTGGGCTGGGGAGACCCTGAGAAGGAAGGAGGCCCTGGCTACAGGACTGCAGGAAGGTTAAGAGTGGGGCCCCCCACCTCATCCATGTCTCAGAGTCTCCTGTAGTTCCCAGGTCCCTTAGTGGCTGGGAATGGCAGGCGGGGGTAGGAAGGCGAGTGGCCAAGGCATGCTCTCCCTTAGCCAACCCCAGGGTCTGGTGATGGTCAGGGTTCTGGTTAGGGGCTGTATCCTTGCCTCTGAGGGGCTGGGAGCGGGGCTTCATTGCACAAAATACTGTGGGAGGGCCCACACACAGGGGGTGGGGCCCAGCCAGTCTGTATAGAGTATTGCATTTAAAAAAATGAAAACCTCATTCAAAATAATTAAAAAAACATGAATGAAACAAACAAAAAGAGGCCCACACAACATGAGGCAGGTGGGGCAGGCAGGAAGTCAGGCAGGGGAAGCCTCAGACTCAGGGCATCACCACCATCTTGTCTGAGTCCAGATCCCCAGCCTGGGCTAGCTCCGGACCCCTGGCTGGCCGTGGGGCAGTGGTCCTGGGGGAGAGTATGATGGGGAGGGGAGTAGGCCTGGCCTCAGTGTGGGAGGCTGGCACGGCCATGCTGTCCGCCCGCAACTGCCGAGACAGAGAGACAAGACAGACAGACCAGGCGAAGGAGTGATGAGAGCTTTGTTAGCACCCAGTAGACAGGCCAATGGGTGGGCTGACAGGCCAATGGTCGGATGTTGGGGCAGGCAGCAGGGGACATGTGGGCAGGCGAGCATGGATCAGGCAGGTAGGCAGGCAGCAAGCAGGGGGTATGCAGTTGGGGGGGGCTGCCCTGTGAGGGGTGTGGCATCCCTCCAGCTGCTGCCTGTTGGGGCCTGGGTCTGTGGCTTAGTACTCGGCTTAGAACTCGGTGTCCACCACACGGAAACCTGGCCTGCCTGCGGGGGAAAGCAGAGCAGATGGCTGTTGGTGGGTAAGCAGGTAGGTGGGTGGGGCAGGGAGGAGGGCCAGGGGCTGTATCTACCTGAGTCAGGCATTGACGAAGACCGAAGGTTGGCCTCCTTTTGTAGCTGGATCTCCTTTAGTGCAAATATGGAAGTAGCTGTGAGTAGAAGGGAGAGACAGAGATGAGGAATGACCCATCAGGCAACCCAAGACCACTCCCCATATGGCCTCACTGGGGGAATTAGAAAAAGCTGCCCCCTCTTTGAGAGGCTTGGCTTTCATCTGTTAAATAATTCCACACACAAACCAGACGCAGCTAGGGGAAATGGAATATGGACTATTACATGACACTAAGAAATTGTTAATTTGTCAAGTGTGATAATGGTACTGCAATTACTACCTGTTAAAGTTGGGTGATGAATGGTGTATGAATTTGATTTAAATTAATCCAGTGGAGAGATAAGGGAAGTAGGACTTTTTTTTTTTAGGTGTGTTAACAGTATTATGTCTTTAAAAATTATTTTAAGAGACACATGCTAACATTATTTACGGGTGAATGATATAATATCTAGGATTTGATTAAAAATAATCAGAGGAAATATAGATAAAACCAGATTAGCCACAAGTTGATGACTACTGAAGTGGATAATGGATACTTGGGGGCTCATCATATTATTGTGTCTAATATATAAAATTTTTAAAAGTTTTAAAAGCCAGATATAAAAAGAGAACCTCCAGTGTGATTCCATTCACATAAAGCACTAGAGCAGGGAAAACCTATCTATGTTGTTAAAAGTCAAAATAGTGATAATACCTGAAGGGGATGCAAGGGGTTCCTGGGGGCCTTATAACATTGTTTCTTGATCTGTGTGTTGGTTACATGGATGTGTTTACTGTGTGAAAATTCATCATTCTGTATACTTATGATTTGTGCATTTTTTAGCATATATTTTTCAAAGAAACATTAACTTAAAAAAAGGTAAAGTGATATTGCATCTATTTTTATGTCCGTAAGTTTTCATAAAAAGTATTAATATTAAAAAAATAACTTTTTGTAATAAACACAACTTCCTACAACTTCAATGTATAATTAAGAGGTACCCCCTTAGAGGTGGCATAGCCAGAGCACTGTACAACCTGCCCAGCTGTCTGCAGCAGTCCTGTACCCCCATAGCCCCCCACCAGCCAGTCCATACCCCAGCCCCACTCACTGTCAGGAAGTTTATGGATCCGCTCCCCTAGACTGAAGAAGAATGGATGTTTCATGGCGTCCTCTGCAGAGATCCGATTGCGACCCTCAAACTGAGGGGGTTAGGGGAATATTGGTACCTTCAACAAGACGGCCTCTCTTCCTCCCCACCCTGGACCCTGCTCCTGGGGTCCCTGTTTACCCATACCTAAAGCTCCCCTAGCCCCCCCACCAAGGCTGGGCCAGGAAGGTGGTCTCACCTGCAGCAGCTTGGTGAGGAGATCGGCCCCATCACTGTCAAGTCTATCACAAGGACAAGGGAACCTGCTTTATATTGAGTTTTGGCATTCTGGCCCCTAACACACACGCACCCACCCACTAGCCTCACCGGGATGCATGGCTCAAAAGGGCCTCGGCTCGGTACTTGGGATAGTTGTATGTCTTGAACTCCTCATTGGACAGGATGCCTGGCCATGTCTCCTCAGTTGGGGTTCCTGGGAGGGAAAAAGAGCAAACCTAAGCATCTCACAGGTCCTCCGTGGCATGCCCCCACGGCTCCTAGGGCTCATGCCCCCTCACCCAGGATGCGGAAGATGAAGTGCAGCTGTTCCTCCACCGTGGAGCCCGGGAACAGGGGCCGGCCCGTGGCCATCTCATAGAAGATGCAGCCCACACCCCTGGGCAGGGAGGACACAGTAAGTAGGAAGGCAGTTGACTGGTTGGCCAATGTGACCAAGCCACCCCCTTTACTACCCAGCCCCTGCCATACTTCCACCTGTCCTCACCACATGTCAATCTGTGTGGAGTAATCTGTGGATCCTAACAGGATATCAGGGGGCCGGTACCACAATGTCACCACCTCATTGGAGTACGTCTTCGTTGGGATTGATTTGGCCCGGGCCAGGCCTGGGAGGTGGAGAGAAGAGGCAGCTGGAATTGAGGAGGTCCTGAGCAAAGTCTGGAGGAGAATGCAGTTGGGATTGAGGATATCCTAAGCAAAGTCTGGGGAGACTGAAGTGAGGGAAGTAGGATACAGATGAACCTCAAAAAGATCTGAGGGCAGGTGGGCAGGCAAAGAATGAGGCTAGGGGAGGGAGTTAGAGTGAGGGGAAAGTTAAGGGGGTCACAGGGAAGAAGGGCTAGGGGCAAGGGTCTTGGGGAAGGAGATTGAGACTAAATGGTCATGGGGAAGGGGGAGGCTGGGTGTACCGAAGTCAGCCAGTTTGAGCTCTCCCCTCTCATTGATGAGCAGGTTCTGGGGCTTGAGGTCTCGGTGTAGCACCTTCTGCCGGTGGCAGTAGGCCAGGCCACGGAGCAGCTGGAACAGGAACAGCTGGGGACCCAGGAATGGCAGGCAGTCAAGGAGTATCCACCAGCCCGACCCCCAGCCAGCACTGCTCCCCCTCCCAAACAGGAAACGAGCCCAGAACCTTGCCATACAAATGAAGACAGGGTCCCAACACCCTCCAAGAGCTCCCAGTAAAACAGCCAAATGGGAAAAGTCCATTTCTGGGAGATCTTTGGGGTGGAGTGTGTAAGTGGGGGCCCACTTGTGCCCCTGCTTCCTGCCCCACACCCACTTTCACGTTGTGCATGTTGATGACATTCCCGCAGTCATCCAGGTACTGCTTCAGGTCCTTGTCCTGGAGAAAGAAAAGGAGGTGGTACAGGAACAAGGGTCATACCCCATGGCTCCTAGCCATCTCTCCATGTCCCCCCAGTACCCACTACCACCCAGCCTTACCAGGTACTCAAAGACAAGGGTGAGGGACTTCTCTGTGTGGATAATGTCGTGTAGCGTGACGATGTTGGCGTGTTTGAGGTCCTTGAGCAGGGACACTGCAGGAAACATGGGGATGCGACCAAGGAAGACTCAGGGCCCCACCCTCAGGATAGAGGTAAGAACAGGGACCAGATAGAGACAAGCCCAGGGTTTCCTTCTTTCCCCATGCGGTTTGGGGTAATGCCTCGCAGCCACTGGCTCCAATCCACCCTATACCAGGAAGATGTGTCCCCATATTCTAAATGTGGAAACTAAGGCTCAGAAGAACCTGGAATTGCAGGTGACACTAGATTTTCACAACCTTTCTTTGGTTTCTGGAAAAGGGTCTTGCTCTAACCCTCAGTACATGAGCCTGCAACATTGTGTGAAATTGAGTCTGCACGTACTATTTCTATGCAATTGAGATTCATTCCACATTATTTTCTGACTAGAAACTTGGGTCAAATAAATTGGTGAGCACTTTCAGAGGTGCTCTCAGAACCAGAGCAAGCACCCTGGTGTCCAAATCACCTGCCTTTGATCCAAACAGGAGAGGATTCCTGGTTACCTTGATTATTACCTGGATATGTGGGTGATGGGCACTTTCTCTAATGGGCTGAGAGCAAAGGCTTCACGAAGCCCAGAACATCAGGAAGTCCCAGAATTCCCAGCCTTTGTTTTCACCATAGCACATGTATGTGTGCCATGGAGGGAATCCAAAAAGCCTGAGGCAGATGGGGTGAGGGTCTGTACCTTCCCGGATGGCGGTGCAGGGTGCCCCTTCTTCATGCTCCAGTCTGATCTCCTTGAGTGCCACAAGGTTGTCTGTTAGCTTGCTTTTGCCTTTGTAGACGGTGGCATAGGTGCCCTGGGATATGAGGAAGAGGGATGGAGGGGGGAGCTATCAGGCTGCAGGGGGTTCACACTGACCCTCACCTCCACCATGGGCCTCCTGGCTGTCCCTCACCTCGCCCAGCTTGTCCAGTTTGATGTAGGTCTCCAATTTCCCAAAGCCAATCTCGGACTGTGGGGTAAAGGGGGCAAGTTAAAGCAGGCTCAGGGGAGGGAACTGGGATAGGAATAGGAAGCAGGACACGAAGAAGAGATGCTCACCAGGCTGACACGACGGAGGCGGCGGCTGAGGGGCTTGTCAAAAATGGGGCTATTGAGGGTCAGCTTCTCAAGGTAGCCCTCAGGCAGCCGGATGTCAGCTGGTAGCGACAGGCGCTTGTTGATGTCCTGGCAGGCAAAATGCGGGAGACAGGACCATGAGCCCCCCCCCCCATTTCCAACCCCTCCACCACATGGGCTGGGGATCAGTACCTCAGTGGAGATCTTGCGTGGGGGATGGTTGCGCATGCGCACCCTCACTGGCGACTGCACCTCATCTGAGGATGTGGCCGAAGCCTGGTCACTCTCCCCATCAGACCCCATCTTCAAGTCCTCATGTACAATCTCTGGTGTTGAGGGAGAGGGGGGGAAGGCAGGCCAGGTGGGGTCAAGAACCCCAGGACACCCCACCCCCACCCAACACATTTCCCCATCACACACATGCATGCACATGGACCCCAGACCAGCCTGGAGTTCCTCAAGAAGAGGGTGGCAGGGCCCAACAGGGGCTCAGACAGATCCAGGACAGGATAAATGGGGTATAGAGGGTAGACCAATAGTCACCTAGTGAAGCACCCCATTCCAGCGGCAAGCTGAGATTGCAGCTGGCCCAGGGCCAGTGGGCAGGTGGCAGCAGAGGGAGCCAAGGGACCTGAGGAGGCAGGCCCAGGGCAGGCAGGCCCAGTGGAGGGGCCATCGCAGAGTACAGAAGGGCAGAGGGAGGCTTGGGGCAGCTGCTGCAGGCAGGGCACGCCTGGGTACAAAGCCAAGTGAAGGGGCAAAGGTAGACAGACAGAGGGTGCTGACAGAGGATGGCAGGGGAGAGAAGAGAATACATGGGGAACAAGGAAAGGGAAGAAAACAGAGAAAGGAAAATAAAAATAACACAAATCTAAAAGAAATTTGGCTGGAAGGCAGCACCTAGGAACCAGCCCGGGGCGGGGGTGGGGTGGGGAGAGGGAGTACTTAGTGGCCCCACCTTGTGCAGCGCTGAGTAGGACCCGTCCAGAGCGAGTTTCCCCAGGGACAGCACGTGTGGGGGCCTCTCCAGGGTCACTGCCGCCACCACTACCACTCTCATCCAGGCCTATCTGCTCAGGGGCACCATTGGTCTTGTCTACACCTCGGCCCCCTCGGAGTGTCATCGACAGCTGCCGTTTGATCTTCTTCATCCGATCCATGGCGACCTGAGCAGGGGGCATGGATGGGAATGGGTTCCATGTTACCATCTGCCTAACCACCATGGGTCCCCCAAAATCCATGGTAACCTACTGGGGGGCATTGATATGAACTTGTGTCAGTGACCACTCAACCTCTGTTGATCCATGGAACCTCTCAGGATTTTTGGAAACCTAGCATGGACAAGGACCCTTGTCAGTACCTGACCACCCATGGGACCGTTCCTAAGCAGCCCACCTGGGTACTCAGGCTTAGGTGGCTGGCTGAGGGCAAGGGCCCACCCGGTGGGGTGTTGGTCTCTATGGGGGCTGCCTCACTGTAGGAGCAGAGGGCTCCACAGCAGGTGTTATCAGGTGCAGTGGCAGTGGTGGATCCAGCCGTGGGTGGGGCAAGGGGCTTGCCCAGGGCCGCGGGACCACTGACACAGCCCCGGGCATGCCCATAGAACAGCATGTTCTGCTGCCACCAGCCCCACATCAGCCCCAGCTGCCAAGGCAGAATGTTCCCCACAGCCACAGGGACCCTCTCGCCTCTCCTAGCTACCCAGCAACCATCGTCACGGTAACTAGTGGACCACTCCACTAGTTAAGCTAGGTTGGGGGGAATGCAAGGAGAGGGGGGCCCTAACCAGATCCAACCACTGGGTGGAGCCAAGAAGGAGGGGTCTCAATGCACACCAGCTGTCCTCAAGACTTATTGGAAAGGTTCAATCAGATTGGGACCCAGTGGGTCCCACCCAGAGTTTTACAATTCAAGCTGGGTCACATTTCTCCTTTACTTGAGAATGTACCTCATCTCCCTTATCACCCCAAACAAATACCCCAATGAGGCCCACGAGGTCTTATCTCACTGGCTTCTTTTACCTCTCTAACCTCACCTTCCCCTTTATCATTCCTAATTGCTGTTCAGCACAGTCTCACCTCAGGGCTTTTTCACTGGCTGTTCCCTGTGCCTGGAACACTCTTCCCCCAGATTTCCAAACAGCTCGTTCCCTCACCCCTTTAAGGCCACTGCTCAAATGTCACCTTTTTTAGTGAGCAGTGAGGCCTCCAAAAACAACCATATTTAAAATCTCAACCATCTTAATCTCCCCTCACGTTGCCTATTTTCCCCCACTGCACTCATCAACCTCATTAGAAATATTGGTGTTGCTGTTGTATGCTGTTGATTCCGACTCACAGCAGCTCTATAAGACAGAATAGAACTGCCCCATAGTGTTTCCTAGATTGTAATCTTTATGGGGAGGAGCCCCGGCAGTGTAGTGGTTAAGTGCTTGGCTGCTAACTGAAACGTCGGCGGTTTGAACCCACCAGCCCGCTCCACAGGAGAAAGATGTAGCAGTCTGCTTTCATAAAGATTTACAGCCTTGGAAACACTATGGGGCATTTCTATTCTGTCCTATAGAGTCACTATGAGTCAGAATCGACTCAACGGCAATGGGTTGGTTTTGGTCATCTTTACAGGAGATCACCAGGTCTTTTCTCCCACAGAATGGCTGGTGAGTTTGAGCTGCGCCGACCTTTTGGTTAGTAACTGAACGCTTAACTGTTGTGCCACCAGGGCTCCTTGGAAATGACATGATCTACCTATTTGCTTTTTTATTCTTTACTGACAGCCTCCTTCTCACCACCACTAGATCAGCTCCACTAGGGTAAAGACTTCTGTCTGTTTAGGTGACGGATATATCCTGAGAACCCAGAATAGTGACTGACAAAGTAGATGCTCAAGAAGTACTTAAGGCAGAAATGAATGAAATCAGTGGGCTGAGGGCCTAGGACCAACTTCCACCAAGGTTGGTGAGTCCCTGCTACTTATGAACAAACCCAAACAAGGTAGCCCAGGGACGCTGGCATCGGGAGGAAGATGACCTAGATGGGCTGCTGGAAGGAACAGGCTACCAAAAGGCTTAGACTAGCCTTCCTCTGCCTCTTTCTGGGCTCTGGGCCAGCAGGGAGGGGGAAAGACCTGGCCTAGGAACCTTCGGGACTCACAGCAAAAACTAAGATGGCCTTGGCCCCAAGGGAAGTATAGACAGACACGAGGTTGAAGATGAGGCTGGGGCTGGATTCAAAAAGAGAAGTGGATCATCTGTTACCTTGAAATCAGGTGCTTACCCCAGCGGTTCTACACCTCATCCTGCCTGGCTGACCTCACCTCCCCCAGGAAAGGTAGAAGAGTCAGCCTAGCAGCAAGATCTTAGATAAAGAGAATGAGGTCCATCCACAGAGAACCCGAAATAACAAAAAATCCTGACCCAGAAGGTAGACACACTGGGCTTGAGACTGAGGAAGGTAAAGTAAGACCAGCCCCCAAAGACTGTCATGTGTCCCCATATGGCATGGATACCCAGTCACTTTGCATGTTATGGTGGGAGGAGAACTGTAAATAGGACTGAATGGAGGATACAGAGGGGGCCAGAGGAACCATGGGTCTACTGGAAACTCCAAGGGCTAGACATGTTCTAAAGTTTAGTTTTTTGGGATTTTAGGAAGCTGCGTACAAAATCTTTGTATCCTGTGACACACCCAGCAGGGGGTCCCAGGCAGGCCCTTGCAAACAGACACTTAGATGTTTATATACAGCAAAACTTTCAATTATCATTTCAGTTTTCTAAGCTTTTTAGATTTTGGAATAGTGTAAGAGGGAGCAAGAAACTAGACACACAACTCCACAAGAAAAAAAAAAGGCACACGTCCTTCCTAACCCTCCACCCACCACCACCCCCGACTCACTCCAGGACACATACTCCCCCCACCTTGCAGACTACTCTCATACTCAAGGACACCCACCACCTCATACCACAGAGACCAATGAGGACACAATCATCACGCTCTACTAACTCCCATAGACACATATCATCCTCATCCTGTCCTGACCCCCACTAGTACACACTGGATATCCTCAGTGTCCTGCTTCCTTCAGTACGTACTGGACCCTCAAGGAGGCCTCACAAGGACTTAACTCTTACCCAGGTCTTAACTCCTACCCATGATTTCTCCATCAGCATACAAAGCCCCAACATATAACAATGAACTCTCTTAGCATCGAGGGATGGACCCTAAGTAACTTACCACCACATACTTGGGCCCTCACAGGTACTTGCCTGTTAGCTTTTCCTTGCACTGACCGCCACTGTCACAAGCTCAGCCCTCTCTACAGCTGATTCACATTAACACTCACTGAACTATCACACAGCTCTGCCCCACCACCACCCCCAGCCCCCTGCCATTAGCATGCCCTGGATCTACAAACCTCCCTGCCCCTGGTTAAGATACACCAGACTCTCCACAGCATTGACCTCCATTAACATAGTTCTCCCCACATAACTCTAACTCCAGTTAACATGCACTTGGGGCCCTCTACAGCTGACCCATATTAGCACTCACTGGACCTTCACAGTGCCCTGAAACCCATTAACACAAAGTGGACCTTGCAGAACCCTGACCCTGTTTTTGCACACACTCAGATCCCTCCAAAGCTATGACCACCATTAACACACATCCCAGTCCTCCCACTACCCTGTCCCCTCCATCAGCACAAGCTGGACCTTCACTCCACCCTGACCCCTACCAGCATACACTGGGTCCCCCACAGTGCTGCCTCCCCATTAACACACCTTGAATCCTTATTCAGCCCTTTCCCCCAGGGACACACAAGTACACTGTTCTATAATGGCCTGACCCTCATTAGCGCACACAAGTCTTCATTCAGTATTGATCTCCATTAGCACGTACTTCGGCCCTCCATGGCTCTAATCCACATTAGCACACCTGGACCTTCACATATTCTTGTCCTTTATTTCTGTTTGTTTCAATCCCCCACAACTATAACCTCAGAATTGGTTGACACTCAGGTCCCTTCACAACCCTGATATCCATTATTACACACTAGATTCCCTCCACAGCTCTGTCCCCCCATTGGCACTCCTTGGAACTTCAATATACTCCAGTCCCCCATGGACACAAATATACACTGTCCTCAATAATGTTCTGATGCTTATTAGCATATTCCAGACATCATACTTGACCCTTCCCCAACTGGCACACATTTAAGCACCAGCATGGCTCTAAACCAACATAAGCAGTCACTAAAACTTCATGTATTACCCTGCCCCTTATTAGTATGCCTTGGAGTCTTACATTCACTGCCCTCGTGGACACACACACACACAGATCTCATACCATCTTGACCTTCATTACACTGAGCCTCATCCAGTTCTAAGATGCAATTCCTTCCCCCTTCCCCCTCCCAACTCTGATACCTATTAGCACAGGCTCAGATCTTCACCTCCCTGCCCCCATACACATCCTCGGGTCCCTCCACCACTCTGCCCTCATTAGCACATACTGGGCCTCATACTCAGCCCCTTATGACCACATGCACACACCCTCTACAGCCATGACCCCCATCAACACACCCTGAACGCTCTCACACACCTCAGTCCCCCCACAGTGTTAAAATCATCCTGACACTCATTACCACAAGGGGCCTCAGAACACTGATCCTACTAGCACACTTTCTGGTACCTCTACCTTCCTATCCCCCATTCAGACACACTGGGCCTCTCCACAGCTATAGCCTCCATTAGCATATCTCAGCACCACCCCCCAACACCCTACTCCCTATTATACATCCTGGGGTCCTTCGACTACCCTACCTCCCCATTTGCACACATTGGACCTCACACCTCACACAACCTTAAGACTTACTACCATATGCTCCGACCCCTACACAGCTTAGGCTCCCCCCTCCATTAGCGAACCTCGAGTCTTCCACCACTCTGCTACCCATTTCTACACCTCTGGTCCTTCAATCACCCTTCTCCCCATTAGCACTAACAGCACATCCCATCCCCAACTCCCAGACCGGGCTCAGGGCGGGGCCAAGGTCAGGGAGGCCCCGAATGACCCCCCGCCTCCGGTGCACTCTGGGAAATTTGCTAGGGGAGGAGGCACATGCGGGCCAGACAGCCAGACACTTAGGCACCGCCCGGGTTCGGGGTTGGTTCCGTAGGAGGATGGGCAGCCCCGCACCCCATGTCTAGAGGACGCGCTCACCGGCGGGGGCGCGCGTGCAACCTCAGCGCCGCGGGGCCGGCGCGGTGGCGCCTGGGGCGGCG